GCCAAGGTCATGGCGATCCACCAGGATGCTCGCGGCGACGTCCTGCTATCACGTTTCGTGCTGTCTGATCAGAAGCTACGCATCGTCCGCGGCTCCTTGCCCTACCCCAAGAAGCATCAATCCACCGGCGATGGCCTTGCAAAGGCCACGGAGACCTCTCTCCAGATGATTTGCACTCCCTATCTGGGAGCCCCGCCGAGCAGTTTCTTGGATAGCATCATTCTGGCAAGAGGTTTCTTTGCCTCAACCCGTGGCTGCTACAGCCTGGCGAAGCCCCGAGGCCTTTGTTTTTCGTGTTTTGGTTCAGGGTTTGGTGTTTCAGCTTTTTTCGCCTGTGGGAACGAAATTCAGGTCAGATGGATGTGTTGCTGAAACAGCAGCCTGACCAGCAGCTGCTACAGCACGTCAAATCCATTGTGGAGATCTTGGATGGAGACGGTTGCCCTGCACAGCAGCAGAGCCTGGAGATCATTGGGCGCACCCTCCCGAGTCTGAAGATCAGGGTCCAGGATCCGACGCACTCCACGCGGAGGACCTCGGGTGGGGTGGGAATTGGGTTTAGGGTTTAGGGGATGTTCCTTTTTCAGGGATTGAAGATGACCAATGCTATAACAATTTAATCGCAGCCTTCGGGGTTCTTGGACGGATTCCCGGGATTTGGGGGTCGGAGTCAGCCAGTGTAGTCTGCACACCATCAGCGCAGTGCATGTTGCCTTTCTGACCTGACTGGCATGTTGCTGCTGCAATGAAGATCAAGCGGGTCCGAGGCTGATCCGACAGCATATCTTGCTTTCAGTCAGAACAAAGGGCATATGCAATATCGAACTCTTACAAGTTCAGGGCTCATTCAGGGCTCAAGCTTCAGGCAATGCGGGCTCAGCATTTGGGCTCACTCAGGGCTCTAGCTTCAGGGCATCGGCATAAGAATCTGGGCTCACTCAGGGCTCTAGCTTCAGGGCATCGGCATAAGAATCTGGGCTCACTCAGGGCTCTAGCTTCAGGGCATCGGCATAAGAATCTGGGCTCACTCAGGGCTCTAGCTTCAGGGCATCGGCACAAGATTTCGAGCTCACTCAGGGCTCTAGCTTCAGGGCAGAAGACTTCAGGCTCAACTCAGGGCAGAACACTTTGGGCTGAGGGCTCAGGTTTTTCAACGATCATCTTTGTTTCACAAAATGTCCTGGTCGTGGAGTGGGTGGAGCTGGTCCAACTGGTCGTGGAGCGACTGGTCTGACTGGTCCTGGAACGATTCGCGGCAGCAGGCCTGGCCGGGACCTGGAAATTATGATAAGACTAGATTGCCCACCCCAAACCGTAAACCCAAAACCCTAATGACAAGGAGGTTCTATCTCCGTTCCCATTGCTGACAGGCCTGGAGCTGGCGTAACGATGATGACGCCCAAGGGGCATCCAGCTCAGCGGCTGCTTCCAGCTCAGCGGCTGATACAGCCAAGGCCTCGGCGCCAGCGGCTGGAACAGCCAAGGCCAAAGGCAAGGGCAAGTCCAAGGCCCAGCGGCCTTGAAAAAGTAGGTTCCTGGATTCCTAGTTAGCTTTTCTTTTCTTCTTTTCCTTCCTGGATCCCTGCTTCAGGGCCGCAGCCGCGAGGATCGCCCGGAGCTGCTGCGCAACTACTTGCGGTCGCGCATGAGCATCCTTCAAAGGGACCGCGAGGGCGCCGATGCCTCCTTCGATATCTGCTCCTGGGTCTTCGAGTCCTGCCTGCACAGAAAGCCTAAACCCTAAACCGTAGACCGTGAACAACCCTAATACCCAGGAGAATGCCAGCTGGTACAGCTACAAGAAGTTCTTCGAGCAGAAGAACAAGGAGCCCATCTTGACGCGGCAGGAGGTAAGCAAGGGCGCGAGTGCTTTGGTGGCCACGTTTCTCCAAGCCGAGATCCTTGGGTATCACTTGTCATACTTTCTCTTGAAAATTGTCTCCAATTCCTGCCCGCTCATTCCTGCTACTAATATTTTTCGAAAAGGCAGCGCCTGCGTCCCTGGTTCTGGGTGAGCCCCAAGCACGACATGGAGGAGCTGTTCAACGAAAAGTTGACGCAGGAGCAGCTCCAGCAGGTGAGATCGGCCTACATGACAGCCACAGGCCCGCAAATACGGTTTACGGTTTAGGTCTGATTAAGTTTCAGGGTTTCAGCTTCAGGGTTTAGGGTTTAGGGTTAGCAGTTGAAGCCCGTGAAGGCGCGGTCGAGCACAGCCTTCCGAACAGGGCCATCGGAGACGGGGAGGCGGAGGTGGAGGTTCCCTCTGGAGTGGCTGGAACAGCCTCGGCCTCTGCTACAGCGTCTGGCTCTGCTGGCTCCGCTGCAGTTTCTGGGTTTGAGGAGACGGGTGATCTTTCGAGCCCAGTCAAGAAAGCCCGGTTCCTGCCTGCGCTGGCTGAAGAGGCCGAGGCAGGCAATGGACGAAAGGTTCAACCTCAGGATTTCTAGATTCAGAATGGTTTGACCTGCATGAATGCCTAAATCCTCCAGTCCGTATCTGGACCCTCTAAACCTCAATCCCTAGTTTGTTTCATTCCGTATATTCCTGCCAGGTGGCGTTGAAGCTGACGGAGGGCCTGCACCAGGTGACCTTCCGCTTCAGAGACGGCAAGCCCTCGAAGGTGACCGCGGAGTACATGGTCTACATGCCGTACGGGGAGGTCTGGGACATCCTGCAACAGGGTATTTTGTTTGGTTCATTCTAGGTTTTTTTGTTCCGGGGGAACAGAAAGCCCTAGACTGCGAACCCTATGGCTAGGTCAAGCACGTGCTGGTGTATCTCTCGACACAGGGGGACTTCGATCTGGAGGGAATGCAGTTGGACTGGCTCAAGCAGCAAGGTGTATGCATCATCAAGCCTGGGGTCAACGTCCAGAACCGGGCAGGTGCATACACGATGAAGCCACCGCGGTGGCTCTTTGCCTTCTTGATGGAAGCACCTCGTCCGCAAGCCTCAAGGATGGCCCCTCAAAAGCTCACAAAGCTGAGAGTTTGTAAGGTTCTGGGGGTACCGGTTGATGAATCCGTGCTTTCTTGAAATTTCACAGGCCAGCTGCTTGAAGGCGGTGCCCTTCCTGGTGGCTGCATACAGCCGAGGGGCGCATTGGGCCACAGAGATCTGCCAAAAGTGCGAGCCTCGGGAGATGCTGTGGAGGCACTCGGATGAGGACCGCATCTCGTCCAAAGCCCTCCACCCTAAACCCTAAACACAAGCCTTAAACCGTAAACCCAAAACTGAGCAGGGGCCTTGGACCTCGGTGTGGCACACTGGCGATGTGGTGGACCGGCTGCTCTGCGTTGGTCTGTATGCCACTGCTGGCCTCAGCCCCGAGGAGGTCCAGGATCGGGGCAAGTCTCTGCGAACAGAGATCTGAACCTTGGCTCCAAGGGAAGAGTTGCACAAAACGGGGGTTGCAAGTCTAGGCTAAGGTAAGCCTAGGCAACCGTATCCGGGCCCTAAGCCCTCTATTGATAATCCTGACACAGCTGAGACATCGTCAACTCGCTGGACGACGATGTGAGCCCCTTCGGGCAGATCGAACCTTTCCTGCAGGGCGTGCAGGAGAGGTCGGGCTACGGCTACTTCATCGTTCGCTGCAGGAACCTTGGGGGCACTTAGAAAAAATTTTTTGTTATTATAGTCCCTACGTAACAGCTTAAAATTATAATTGTTGCTAGGGTTCTAAGTTCAATTTAGGAACATGGCTCACGCAGACCTGCACGAGCTCATGTTCTGCGGCGACTACGTGGAGACGCAGAAGTTTCGCAAAGCCTGCAAGATCTGGCGAAACTTCCTGCACATCTGATGCCTGTAACAGGTTTTCCTTATGCCTGCAACAGGCAAGGATACAGATGTGCATGCGTCTTCACGGTGCCTGAAACAGGCAGATGAAGTAGCCGTAGCCCAGTGCCTGTAACAGGCAGGATCTGCCCGGCCCCTTTTTTGTGCCTGTAACAGGCTTTGTGCTTGGCCCCTTGGCGTGCTTCTGGAGCTTTTGGGGCTTGTATAAGGACTATAACAAGGAGGCTAAAGGTAACTTCTTGGAGGGCTTCAGAAGCCAGCCAAGTGTACACTACGGTACACTGAGCCGTTGCAGTGCACACTACGCCGTAGGTGCGTAGCCTGTAACAGGCAGGCTCCATTCTGTCGCAGGTGGCAAGCCGGCACAGGCCAATCAACAATGCCAGAAGAAGACTTAGCACAGGAGTGCAGCAGTCGCAGTACTAGGTAGTAGTACAGTAGTACAAGAAGAATAAATAGTAGTAGTAGTAGCAGTAGTAGTAGTAGTAGCAGCAGTAGTAGTAGTAGCAGCAGCAGCAATAGTACCAGTACGAGCACTACTGCAAACCAGAAGTTGCTATAACATTACAACTACAGGGACAGTAGCACTAGTAGGACTACTGTTACTACGTACAGGTGCTAGTCCTAGGACTGCTATAGTAGTAGTAGTAGTAGTAGTAGCAGTAGCAGTAGCAGTAGCAGTAGCACTAGCAGTAGTCAGTAGTATTCCGGCTTCCGAAAGCCCCGCAGTCTGTGCTGGCCGGCTCTGTGACCGCCGAGCCCTGGAGTTCCGATCGCTTGCCGGTGCCAAAAAGGCGTATTTCTTTTAAGAAACGTCGTTTTATAGTGCATGCTGCAGGACCCATCAATTAGTCGTCTTCAACAGTTGCGTACATGTCGTTGTTGCGGACTCTAGTGGTCTGGGGTCTAGCACGTACGTGTTCTAGGCCACAAACAAGATAAACAAAGCACATGAATGACTCTTACAACCTAACGGACGCATCCTAGAAAGCCCACAAAGCTTCAAGCAACCCCAACGTAAGCTAAGCCCAACTCCAAGGTAAGCGGCACTACACTCGACCTCTGACCAGTGTACTTTCATGAACCCAAGATGAGCTCCGAATAACATCGTAGCTCGGATCCTGAAGCTGCTGCCTGCGTGTCCATGCAGACCCTGTTCCCAAAAAGCCCCGAATCTGAAGCTGCTGGCTGTGAGGATCTACTCGCGGCCGCTGAAGGCCGACAAGTTCCTGGACGACACAATGGAGAAGCTGGTCATGGGCAAAACTGCTGTGGTCAAAGCGGCTGCCTACAGCCTTCCCTTCAAGAACCTGCTGGAGGGCTTCATCAAGACCATGGAGGTAGTCGGCCCGTGTTTCATACATGATAGTTTGAAGCTTTCCTGCAACGCACCATGCAAAGTATACATGCTAAATGACACTGACATGTGCAGGACCGTTCCACAAACGCTGTGCGGAATTTCAGCCTGGCGAAGCAACGATTCGAATCCTCCTACGAGCCCATGCTTCGTCTGACGCTGTTCCTGGAAGCCTTCATCATGGCGGCGCAGCAGATCATCAGGAACAACAGCTCCGAGGAGACCGCTGTGTGCAACAGCTTCCTGCAGCTGCTGACCGAGGAGAGGCTCCTCACCCTTGCGATGCTCGGAGATGCCTCGGCATGCATTCTCAGACTGACCCGCTTCTTGGATAGTGAAGAGCACGACATCAGCGGCGTCGCCGACCAGTGCCTCGAATGTGCCAACTCGTTGCACCATTTGTTTGCTGATCAGGCGTGTGATGACAACGGACTGACTCGACACATGCTGGCCCGTCTCGAGCGGCCTCTTGTCTGGCTTTTCAAGGACGGCACGGCAGGTAGTGTGGGTGGCAATCCGGCAAAAACCAGAGATGCACTCGCAAAATGCCGTCCAAGATTTCTTGCATACACAAAGTTGGCATTGCAAACTCTCATGGCAGAGTTTCCTTCTTTCGGCTGCCTCATGGCTTTTCGAGCCTTCCAGCTTGGTGTTGGTGGCTGCAACAGCCGCAAGCGCAAGAATCCAACGGGTCCCGGAGCCCAGACACGTCAGGAGTGTGTGGAGAGGCTTGCTTTACTATGCGACTTGCCCAAGGACACATTGCTGGAACAGCTCGAGGCCCGAAGCAAATCGGTAGAGTCTAGAGTCGTTGTTTAGAGCCCCGTTCTAGCCGGACCCGCCGGGCCTTCTTCAGTGTAACAGCTTTGTCAGGACCATCGACCAGCTGCCCAGGCAGTCTACAACTCGACTGACGTCGACACCTTTGATGCCTGGAAGCGGGCATGGTTGTCATATGAGAATGCGAGTGGTGGCCGCAAGAGACACCCAGGAGATGTACTGGGCGAAGCACTGCAGAGGTTTGGTGCCTATAACGGATGCACTTCATCTGGCGTCGAACAGTCGTTTGGCAAGCAGACGCAGCTTTTTGGAAAGCAGCGACTGCGAATGCTCGAATCCACCGCCAATGATGAGAACGCCCTTTGCTTGGATGCATTGGTGGATGATGCGAAGCTGTGCCATCGTGCCCGTGTGACTCGAATGAAAGACCTTAGTGGGGCCGTAGCTGTTGCAGGTTTGCATAAAAAACCATCGAGTCTGAGGTGATTTGGACTCACTTGCAGTATGGCAAACCGCGCAAAATGAAGTCGGACTCGCGGATCACCAAGGGCATGACTCGGAAGAAGACCAAGAAAGACTTGTCCATCAAGGCATGGCGCGATGCCTCCCAGAAAAAAGTTCTGAAGGAAGTGCGCAGCAAGGGGCCGTTGAAGAGCGTGAAGCAGCTTCATGGAAAGATTCGATTTGCCAGAGGCAGTTCGGCCTGGACGAGTGGTCATGAAACCGAAGCCGCATTCCAAGAGCGCAAACTGGACAAGAAGTTTCTAGATGCCGCATTGGACAAGAAGCTCCTGCAGGACGAGCAGACCAAAGTGGCTGGAACAGCCTTGCAGGTACATGCCAAAGCACGCGAGGCCAAGCGGCGCGAGCAGGAAAAAGAGGCCCGCAAGAGGCAGGACTTGGATATGCGCAGACCACGGATCCTGAGTCTTGGAGCCGCTGTCCGGGGCAAGGCCTGATTGTTGCAGTGCTGTTTCAATCTATTTACACCATTTGGGAGCTAGTTTTAGTACTTCCCGTGGACAGGTCGTTGCGGTGGAGAAAGAGCTGTCGCTGCCTGCAAATGCGCTGGTTGGCTGCCAGGAGGTGGAACAGCAGTGCAAGCAAGCCCAGGTGTGCATTGTGGAGAATGTGGCAAGCCCGTCCTCTCGTATGCGATGGGTGCTTGCTCTGTTCGGGGGGTTGTGTCTCTCCAAGAAGTTTGCGGCGTCGGCTGGCAAGCATGGGCCTTTCTTGAAGTACGAGGCAGCCAGCGCGAAGAAGCGGGCGATTTGGATCAGTGAGTCCTTCCAGGCAAGCATCCCTGGCATCACCGATCTTATCACTGCTGCATGCCGCAAGCCCGGAAGCCAATGGACGCTGTTGCAAAGGGAATCTGAAGTGACCACCACGCGTGGCAGCGTGATTGTGCTCATTGAGGCAGCTGACACAGCCAGAAAGCGCTTGTACAGAGGGCAGAAGAAAGCCGTGACAGCCAAAGAGTTTCTGAAAATGATTTCCGTGGTCGACAAAGTTGCCAGCCGCCTTTGCTGAGAAAGTGTTTCTGGCCGAGGCTTCCATGTACAGCTTTGCTTCAAGCAAACGTCGCAGGGGGAATGCGACAGGCAACAGAGCTCAGGACCAAAAGTCGGGTAAGAGACTTTGCAGATTCATTGGTGTGCAGCCGTTCTCTGAATGTTGGTTCCACTGTGATTTCAATAGGAAGAGATTCTTGGAAGTTGTAACAGGTTGCAGCTCATTCGTAATCTAAGTACGAAAAAAAGATGCCCTTATAGCGATGGGGTGACTGTTTAAACGCGACCCGCACGGCGCAGGTAGAGAATAAACAGTCAGGGGCGCCCCCGACTGTTTATTCTGACCCGCTGGGTCCATCAGGTCCAACACCCAGGGGCGCCCCCGACTGTTTATTCTGGCCCGCACGGCCTTGTATCCATTGTCTCCTGGGGTCCGGCTGTTCCCTGGATACTGCGTAGCCACGAACAGGAGGAGTCAGTCTGGTTTGCGCAGTCCAGAATAAACAGTCGGGGGCGCCCCCGACTGTTTAAACGCGACCCGCACCGCGCAGGTAGCAAATAAACAGTCGGCCGATCACCATAGCGCGTCTTTTTTTGTCTTGCGGTAAAGCCCGGTTATTCTGCATTTCTGTGCAAGAAAGTGTCATGTGTGTTCCGAGTCCCCTCGTCTGCAGTCATTCACTCATCCTGGCTTCGGAAGACATTGACTCTGCAGTCCTCAGTGCACAGACCATTTGTTGAGCTCAGTGACCAGTATGCCGCAGCCTCTTCAGTCCAGACCGATTCCAGACTGAGAACTACTCGGCAAGTGTTGCTTCAGTCGCAAGCGGATTCCAGAATGAGAACTTAACTCACCGGCAAGTGTTAGAGAGTCCTTGATGCATAGTGCCTTTCACTTGGCACCCGTTTAGAAGCAGGATCTAGCGAGAAGTGGCAGGTCGCGCTGACCTTGCAAAATCATGGCACCCAAGGGCCACTTGGAAGAGCAGGATAGCAAATCGCATTAGGAAAGAAGCTCGTGGAATTAGTTTGCCAGACTCAGGCGATCCGAAGAAGAAGGCCGCGGCCAAGGCCGCCAAGGCGGCCGCCAAAGGAAAGGCGAAAGTCGCACCTGCCCCAGCCGCCGGCCCAGTGGCTGGAGCAGCCCAGCCACGGGAAGCGGCGGAAATCCCGCCGGGATGTGAAGAACACCGCTACTGGGATGGAGGTGTGAACCAGACCCTCATCTGCAAGGTGAATGATGCCGTCGCCACGATCCTGGACAAGTTCCCCGGCCACTCGGCAGAGAAGCTTAAACGCTATAAAGCCCAAACGACCTGCCGCCAGGCATATTTAACCCTAAACCCTGGACGATCTGCTGCGAGGCATCCAGAATGAAAAGCCGCTGGACATCTCCGACGGCGGTTCCGAGAAGGCGTTCGACGCAGGCGACTACCACCGGGCGATGACTGGTGCTGGAACTTACCGCTGTGTTGGCAACCTCTTCATGATAAATTTCGCCTACAGCCCCAGTCGGACTGCTTCATGTCTGTTTCGTGTGGCACATGGCTAGCTTTGCAAACACTTGTAGGCACCGATGTATTTCCTGTGTGTGTTGCAGGAACGTACCGGTGGCTGAAACAGCACTGATGGAGTGCAAGGACAAGATCTTCAACTTCCGTTGGGAGAAGGGAACCCTCAAGAACTATCCCTTTGAGATATCCATCGCGGTGATGGACACCTCGCCCTTGGATCACCCCGCGGGCTTGCTCCGCGTCAGTGCGGCCCCCAAGCCTGTGAAGAATCTTTGATGTCCAGGTGCTGCGTGCGAGCTGCGTGCGCATTTCGTGCCTCTGAGGCCCGGAAGAGTACGAGCAGGCGTTCTTGTTGTGGATGGCCGAGAAGTTGGACAGTGGCGCAGATGACACGGACAAGGAAGCAATGAAGCGAACCTTGTCTCCAGGGTTCAGAAGTGTAGACTTATACGCCATGTTCCCCTGGCATGCGTTCTTTGAGCCAAGGATTATTGACCTCGATCCCCTTCCGATTCCATGTTTTAGCCAGCGAAGACGCAAGGTTTTTCCACATGGCCAATCTTCGAGAGGATGCAACAGAACTGAATAGTTTTTGAAATGCATCGGTTTGACAGTTTGCGTTTTAAGGCAAGCTCCTTTCCGAAGTTATCCAGCAAAGGTAGTGAAGTCGTTCAAGCTCGTGGGCAGATCGGCGATCCAACGGATCTTCGAGCTCGAAGGCTTCAGGTTGCGCAAGCTGAAAAGCCACGGACCGGGTGGATGCGACCCAGCGCAGCTGGCACAGCAGTTCATGAAGGAGCTGCCAACGACATCCGGCGAAGAAGATGTGACGTCCGAGACTTATGTCCCTTTGGTTTGATTGGCAAGACTCTAAATAGCCAGTGGGCTGGAGAAAAGCAAAACATAGCAGGAAGACTACACGATCCCCACGAAGCCTCGCCCGTAATTCCAAAGCTGTTCGTCTGAATGCATTCAACGGTGTGCGTCTGAGATCAAAAACGCCTTCAAAGTCTTGGAGAATGTCTTGGCCGTGGATGAGGTGAAGCAGATCATTCTGGCCTGCGAGCGCGAGTACGGGAAGCTCAGCCCGTTTTACAGCATGTCAGCATGTCCCAGCTCGAGGCACTCATGGCGAAGACCAAAGATGCCGGCCAACTGGCCTGGGCGGTGGATGCCATCAAGTTCTATGTTGACCGGAAATTCGCCACCTCCGGCGAAATGTCCGCGAGGAACTTGACTGGCAAGACCACCAACAACAGAGGGCTGCTGGACGTCATGCTGGAGAAGCAGAAGATGCTTGAGCACCTCTTGCATCAGTGGCTGGAACAGCAAGCCTTGGACGCGGAGTCCAAGGTCGGGCGAGGGCATAGACACTCTGGGGCGGATGTAGTGTTCAGAGCGTTCCATCCTTTTCAAACTTTGGATGCAGATTCAGGGCTTAGGCAAGTGTTTCTGCAGCACTCGCGACTTGACCAAAACGGGTTCTTTCTCTCGGGGAATCGAAGCCTGAACTGGATGGGGCAGAGGTTCATTGCATAATATGACAGAATGACAGGCGGTGATCCGTTCGGTGAGCTCGCCCGGCAGAGCTGCGAAGTTTTTCGACAAGAACTCCGCGTGGAAGGGCAGCGTCCAGCCAGGCTCGCAGGAGATCCTTGACTTCATGCGCGGAGTCATCTTTGGCCCGCGCTTCGACGGGCAGCTGAGGCATCTCATGAAGAGTGGGAAGACTGCTGCCGAGCTCTTCGCGACGGAGCCCTTCCAGTCGGAGATACTCCGTATCGAGGAGGACGTGCAGCAGCATGCCCCAGAGGCACGGGCTTTGCATGTTTGCAGGTCGTAGTGTAGTAAGACAGTTTAAGAGCACCAGTGGATATCAACAGACGCGTGAGTGCAGCTGACATGTTGCAAGTGATGCACAGTCATTCAGTCATGGCCATCTGAGCACAGGCTGTTGCTGCGGCCGCTGGAACAGCGCGTGCGCCAGCCGCTGGAACAGCAGAGGAGGAGGCGGGCTTCGCGGACATGCTCACCTCCGTCTTGACGGCGGAGGAGCTGGAGAAAGACACCGACAGCGCTGTCGAAGGCTTCCTAGAGAAGGCAGACTCACTCGTCCGGCGCTACATCACAACGGTCACTGAGGTGGAGTCCGGCTCGGAGTTCGTGGACATGCTGAAGGAGAAGTCCGTGTGGAAGATGAGCAGAGTGGGCGTGATGTATGCCGTGCAGCACGCTGGCGAGAGCGATTCGCTTCCCCACTGTCGTACCCCGAGATTTCGGTACGAGCACATGCGGAAGTACTTCAACGGCATCTTGGGTCGGAACGGCGAGGGAGATGAGAGCTTTCCTTCCAACATGCTCTTTTTTTTCTTTAATGCTGGGCATTTCGGGCACAATGAAACGTTTCTCAAGTGCATGACGGATGGGAATGGAAAAGCACTTCCGAAGCGGCGCGAGACGTTGTTTCTGCAGTTCGATGAAGAGTCGCTGCAACAGCGCCGAGGCAAGAAGCAGGGAGTGCTTGCTTTGGTTCAGGGTGCTGTGGTGTGCGCTTCTCCGGACATCACCATGGTGCCCCCGGACCTGCAGGAGCGGATGCACTTTACCAGCACAAGTCCTGCCACGAATGTGATTCAGGGAATCGGCGTGCCTCCGTACGACCAGCTTTGGCTTGTCAACAAGAAAGAGAAGTCGAACATCATCGCAGGAGGCGGCGTTGTCCGCGCAGGTGGCACGATCCCAGATGAGGAGAAGACGGAGCGACCGGACTTGTCGCAAGATCGTGTACCGGTCTGTTGGCACACTTTGCCAGTCGAACTCTGGGAATCTCGGCCTCACACATAGCTACTTGACGGTCCGAGTTCTGAGGTCACAGCCCCAAGACATGCACTGAGCCTTTAAACTATTGTTGCTTGGGGTCTTGTCGGGTTTGGGAGGCGTTGGAGTTGACTATTATCAGGAAAATGAATCCATTGCAGCACGAGGCCTTTGCTTCCGCAAGACCCACCTGTAGAAGAATCCTGTCCTGGCACATCAGCAAGGAAAAAAGGAAAAACACAGCATGCCCGGAATTCACCGCTGGTCCAGGGTCCTGGGTCGAAGCACCCTCTCTCTTCAGGAGAGGGGATTTGCTTGTTGCTAGTTTTGAGCCAGCCGCAGGCTTTGTTGGAGCACTCGGTTTGTAGCCCGAGCCCTTGTCTGGTGACTCGGCAAGGCAACCCTAATCCCAACTTGGGCTTGTCGTGGTGGGCGCACGGTTCAACTCCACCGCATGCTCCACATCCCAGACTCGAAGATCTAAGCGAGGAGAGTACAACATGACAGGTCACACCCCGAGCATCCTCATGTCGGTATCGGGAAGCAAAACCTGGTCCGTTCTAGACCCAAGACTGGCCATTGAGTCGTGCAGCACAATGGTAAGTGCCGTCTTCATATCCTGTGCTGGGGGCTTTTTCCATGAGCGATTCAGAAAGCAGTCTAAATTTCAAGCAGCGTTGTGCGAGAA